ATCTTTAAAGCCTAAAAAGAAATCTTTGAACGCGCCTTTAAAATGTCTATCAAGCTTACAATCAACATCTGCTGTTCCACCACTTGCTCAAAGGTAAACTTGAAATTACAACAAAAAATATCTTGGATTGGGTTATAGCTTATTACATCTCAAAACATTTTATGGTTTTAAAAAAAATTCCTTGTTATTGAAATTAATTTAAATATGTATGTAGCTAAATTTTTTTAATTAATAAATAAAATATATAAATTAAGCATTGTTACACTCATAAATTGCCTCATATTATTTTTCATTAAAAAAAAAATTATTTTATTAGTTTTTATTAAAATGTTAAGATAAAAATATCTAAATTAAATTATTTGAAATTTTTATATTTAGAAATGTTAAAAAATACAAAAAGATCAATAAAAAGGATGAAGATTTTGACAAGAACATTAAACCATTAAGGAAAGCTATTGTTAAGAAAAAAGAAGCAAAGGAATTAAATAAAATTTTAAAGTCTAAAGTTAAAACATTACAGCTAAAAGAAAATTCATCTAAAGATGTCTTTGATAAAGATTTATGGACAAGTTATAGAGGTATGTTTATTACATTTTACAAACCTAATTAAATGAATTTTGATAATATATAAGTATATTTATATATATTTTTGTATTTTAATAGAACCAGGACAAAGAAAAGAAAAACTTATAAAAAATGTTATTAAATGGTTGCCAAGTGAAGTATTAAACCATAATGCTAAAGTTCTTCCAAAATTAAGTAATAAAAAAATGTCTCATCCAAGTCAAAGTACATGCAGTGTTGAAGATATGAAATGTCCGCATCCGGGTCTTTCATACAATCCCACAATTGAGGATCATGTTTCACTATTGAATAATATTGCTGAAAAAGAAACAGAGTTGATAAAGCATGAAGCTCATATCAATAGAGTTACACGAAACTTATTCAAACAAGTCTCTAAAGATAAACATGAAGTAATTTTATTTTATAAAATTAATATTTTAATATTTAAATAGTATGATTGTATTAATTTGTTAACTTTTTTTTAGCAAATGATAATTGAAGAATTAACTGAAGGTCTACCTGGCTTTACAGATAATTCAGTTAAAGAAGTAATTGAAGACACTTCTGAGTTTAAAGCTATTAATCCACCAACTACAAGGGATAATCAAAAGACCACTAAAAAACGTAAGATTCAGAGGCGATTACGTAATGAAGAAAGACAACGTATGAATACTAAAATTGAAAAGAAAAAAATTTCAGATCTTTATAGGTAGGTTTTTCATATATATCCAAATTTATAAACAAAAATTGGTAAATTGTTAAATAATACTATTCTGTACATTTTTATATTTAGATTACGTTATATTAACGAAGAATTGGATGAATTGGAAAATTCAACTAATAAAAAAAAGCTTAAACGATTACAAAAAAGACAAATAAATAATGTTAGCACCAGGCGTCTAGGAACCAACAAGTTTACAGAATCGCTAGACGCTTTTGCATTACCAAAAGATTTAAAAGGTACTCTCAGGGAAACTGAACCTCAAGGAAATATATTCAAAGACTGTTTTGAAAGTTTACAAAAGCGTAATATATTATCAGTTGGTAAAAAACAACTTAAGTAAGTCAACAAACTTATTCAGAATTAAAAATTTTGAAAATTTACATGAAATATTGATAATTTAATACTTCACTAACATTCAATGGACATGTTATTGGACATTAAATCATGTTAAAGGGACCATTAGGACACCATTGATTTATTAAATGTTTAGTGATCGTTGATAGTGTTAAAAATTTATCTATTATTTATCATTTAATTAACTGTTATTATTATTTTTATTTTTTAGGATTAATAAGAAAAAGGTACAAGCATTTATGGATCCTGCTTTTAAAGTAACACCAGACATGTTGGCAAAGTATAGCGTATAATTTAATGATTTATTATTGATGAAGAAATAATAATATATTTTTAGCGTCATAATTCATTATTATTATATTGAAAGTTAAAATCTTGCATACATAAGTATTTTATTTAAATATATTGGTTATAACTACTAATAAAGGTTTTCCTTACTGTTCTTTATTTGATGTACAGTAGTTGATTTTTATTCCAGACAAATCAGGCAGAATAGTTTTTTTATCGTTATGTGATTTAGTGTTTTAATTTGTCTAGATTATCCAATGAACAAATTAAATGATGTCTACTGTATAATACAATAGTGTATTTTACCAATCTTTTCTAGCTAAAATAAATGAATTTTAACTATTTTCAAGGTGATATAAAATTGTGTAAAAGATTGGGAATATAATACATAGTATAATACTTATTATACTATAATTTAGTCTGTTTAACTATATGTACTAAAAGTGTATGAAATATTTATGTATTTATGAACTAATTTATCATTCAATTTTTGATTAAAAATGTACTAAATATGAATATGCTAAAAAAAATATTCTTATTTATTAAGTTGAAACAAGTTTAAAATTATATTAAATAAAAATAAAATAAATAATTAAAATTATTGTAAAAAAAAATATTTGAACTTGTACAACTCATTGCATTGTACATTATATTTTGCATAAATAATGAGAAAAAACAAGTTCCTACTTTGATATTTTAATAGCACTAAAAAGCTCTAACTATATTCTATGGTATCTATATGTAATAGGTTTTGTTGATTCTTTTCTGTTTACCCTTAACAAAGAAAAATGTTCAGACCTGACATATAAATTTAAATTACCAATTTAAAAATTAACATTTATGAATTCTCTACAATAAAGAAATTGTTTTCATACAATGAACCTTCCAAAAAATTACATTTTGCCAAATCTTTGAGGAGACCATAATTTAAATAGTACAACTAACTCGGTGTATTAATTCAAATGCTAATAAGTCACCCATGATGGATATTATATAGTAACAAATTATTAGATTTTTACCTAAAATTTCAAGGTTTTTTTTTAATTCAAAATATCTTAAAAATACTTTGTACTTAGTGTTCTACTTTCTTATTTATTGCATTTGATAGAATTGAAGTAAAGTTTAATGGTCAATTACTCCTATACAGTTTAAACAGATTATTCCTTTTAGGGATAATAATAATTTTTTTCATAACTTTGGAAATGTTTAGGTACCTTTATTTCCAATAAATGAACAAAACTAATTATTGAAGATGGTTAACAAGTTGATAGTTTTCTTGTTAACTTTTGTAAACTTATATATTTTTTATTATAATTTTACTATACACTACTACATTTTTGATTTAATTTAGAATAATTATTTATATAATAATTTTTTTTTTTTTGCTATTTTATAGTATTAACAGAAAGATAAAATTAAATTTGAAGGTTATGAGTTAATATATGATAAAAAAATATATTGTTATAATTAAATAAATACAATATGTTCTTAGAAAATTTTATTAAACCTACTCTAATACTAAAAGTAAAATAACTTTTATTTTGATCACTGAATATATTTATCAATATTAAGAATTGCTAATTTATAAAACAGTTCCTGTATCATATTGCATCTTAGATGATTTGTTCGAACTCGGTATCTTTTTAATTGCCCGCCGGTTCAGAAGAACGTACATCTTCCCTCCCGCCGCCACAAAACTCCGCTATCGTCTCATAATTATCTTATGTGCGATATAATCGTCGCGAGACCGATATGGATCCGGCTGGTTTTGCCCGTCGACCTTTTAATATAATATAATATAATACTATACGTCGTCAGTGTGTCTTTTTGCAACCACCGGACGGTACATATCTGTGTGTGTGCCCCGTCGCCTGCATGCGTGTTGCGACGTAAAACCTTTTTTTGGAAGGCAACCTAGTTGGTTGTTCCTTCACATTGTTTTCTTATATATATAATTTTGTGCGTGTCGCTGTGTGCCGCCGCTATAAACCTTGGTGGTTTTTTTTTTTTTTGGTTGTACCATATACGTGACGGACTTCATCGTTTGGACCAGCATCATCCGTCAGTGGACTAACGATCATATTTTCATATCCGGAAGAAAGTGCGGAATTTACCAGGTCGTCCTTTTGGTTGTCTATACTTCATATTTCTTAATATTATTGTGTATCACGTTACGTGAATCTAATTATATACTGTTTCCCCTTTTTTATTTTTATCTATATATAATATGTGTGTTTACGATATTTCGATAATTTTTTTGGGCGCCCTTTTTTAATCAATTATTATATTAATCATTGTGGTGAAATATATGTTTTTTATTACCCTGTATTTTTATAATTGTATATATTATACTGCTTAGAGTAACCCCTTTTATCCTCAGCACACCGCGAGTCGTGGCAGCAAACGGCTCATAATTGTACGTGCTGTCCCGGCGCGACATGATTGTTAATTCTTCTTATTGCAGAGAATGATTATTCGTAAGTAAAAAAACTGGTGGAAGCAATTAGATCATTTTTTAAATATTTGGAAACACTTTTTGAGATATTTTCTTTAATATATAGTTTCTTTTAACTGTCTTTTAAAACAGTCATCTCAAATTTAGAAACTAGTTTGGGGATAATATAATAATAAAATACTGTGAACTTATATTATAAAAATAGTTGAATGAAAATTTTTTTTGTAATTTTTTAATTGTTATCACCTATAATTTTTTTTTTATATAGATTTTTATTTTTTGTATTTTTATAATATAATATTCTGTATGATTTTTAAAGGAAATTTCCATGATTTAGGAGGACTTAGAACTAGCATTTTCTTTATGCACTTATGTTTAAAATATACCTGGTTATTGTGACAGATAAAAAAGTAAAAATAGTTTTATAATTATAAAATTAATTAACTCAATAACTGATTGAAGCACCAGTTAATTAGATAGTAAATAATAAATATGAAAATAAGTGAATTTATCTAATAATTGCATCAGTACCTTCATTTTTACACATCAATATTTTATAAATACATTTAATTTATTTCACATTAATTATGATCTAATAAAAAATAAATATTTTGAATGGTATTTCTTTTTAATAATAAATCATAAAAATTAAAATTTAGCTAAAAAAGTTACATAGAAATATCAGTCATATCATCAGTCGTTAACAGGAGTTAAAACTATTTTATAAAATGAATCAATACAACTATTGGGTATTGCTTGAGATGGTGATACAAGAGTAAAACCACTTTGAGTTCCAATCGCCAACCAACGAAAAGAATTAAAATTTTGGTTCCAAGATACCTGTTAATAATGAAAACTATTATTAATTATAATTATGATTTGTAGCAATAAATTATTTTTATTTTAACCTTGGTTATATTGTCAAGAGGGTATCTTAACAAAGGTTTGCTATCATCTTGATTGTTCGGTACATTTTCATCAGAAAGAAACTAGCAACAGAATAAATACTTTTAAAAATTTGGATTTAAAGTATTAAAATAAATAATTTACACTTACAAGTTTAGATTCAAGTCCAAATTTTTCAATTGTTTCTTTAAAACGATAACCATTAGAATACTCTGATTGAGTATTATCATTAGATAATTGTCTTACCATTAATTGAAGTATTGTCTGGAATCATAGATAATTATCATATACTACTGTTCAAAACAATAAATTGATTAGTACAAAATATAAACTAATATATAATATCTTGAAAAATATTTTTAGTAAAGTTTTCAACTTAATTAGTTCTAATTAATTCAGATTTTTTTTTGTTTTTGGTTTCTAAAAAAAAAAAATGCTTTTACATAGGTATTTTGTCTTTATTTGAATCATATAACTGATGTAGTGTTTCTACATATTCAGTTACATAATTTATTATTTAATATATATAGACAGGTGATTGTTGTTATTTGTTTTTATGTTAAGATTATAATTAGTACATTATTGTAACTAAGTTTTTTATAACTTACAGAGTTTCCCTTTTTTATACTATTAGTTTCTGAAAGAAACAATTTTTCATAAATAACTCCATTTTCATTTCCAGTTGCTATAACATTCATCCAATCTGAAGTAGAAACAGACTAAAAAAATTTATAATATTAATTATTATAATACATAAAATTCATTCAAAACTTTATTACAAACCCAATGAGTACTCTTTTGATAAAAACCAGGACCGTAAAAATCTTCTTCGTCTGTATTTTTTGGTATATCTCCAGATTTTCCTGCATTATTTGATTTATCTTGATCACTGTATGTACTTGAATCAACAGATTTATATGATTCATCATCACTACTTAAATTGGATTCATTAAGAGCTTTTTTTTCATTAGTATCATTAGAATTTATTTTTTCGTCATTCTTTACAAGATCACAGTTATCGAGTATTTGATTTCTATTAATTACACTTTTTAAAACATATAACTCGGGATTATAACCTTCAACATCATCATCACAGTTTGAAAAATTAATAGTCCGCACTTTTGAGAATACAGGGCTATTAAATAATACATAAATATTAGCCAATAATTAATAATCATTAATATTACTATGAAACCAAATAACTTACTTTACAACTTTACTACAATATACCAATGTGTAACACTGTTGAAGCCAAGTACAGTCAGATGGACAATAAGATTTCTTTTGAAATATTGAGTTTTCAGTAGACTTTAAATCCCATAAAGTAACATTTCCATCAGTTGCTGAAGTAGCCAAAATTGAAGTATTAAAATAATTCATGGATAGACCTTAAAAATGAAAATATGCTTTTTAAATAACAATTTAGATTATTTGTATAAAATTATAAATGATTTTCTAACCTGTTATACTACTTTTACTTGCTATAAAAGTATGACTTGGATAAAGTATATCATTATTTAAAAATATTGATTTAAAATTTATATGGAACACACTCACAACACCATTTGAATATCCACAAATAAGAGTTCTGAAAAAATAATGTTAAAATGTAATAGCATTTTCAGATTAAATTAAAAAGATTTTGCAACACTTGAAAAATGTAAACTCTATACAACACTCCTTTACCATACCTCCAATTAACAATATTTTTTTTTCAATAATTCCTTGTTTTGATTGTAAAATAATCAACTAAATATACTTCACAATAATATAATATAATGGAATAAAATGATACGATTTTTAAGTTTAGATAATTGAAATATCAGTACTCAAAAGGTAGTGTTTAGAAAAAAAATCAAATTTTATATTCTCTTATAAATTATCATGAATATCAAAATGCACGGTTAAAAATATGATTTGATGTAAATTACTATTTATTGTTGAAAATTTTTACCAAATGTTAGGTTATATTAATGAAATATATTATAATGTAAAAAATCATAAAAAAGTTGTTTTTACTTGAATGGTGAAACTGCTTGCCAACAAACTTTTGTGCATTGTACACCGCCTTCAATCCATTCACATTCAAAATTTCTTGCTACTATATGCTTGGCCAAGTAAATAGATAACCTAAATAGGTTCATTTAATATTAGTTTTTATTTAATAATACATTTTTTCTCCATTTAAAATAATACATTTCTGAGTTTTCATCAACAAAAGGCATAGCAAATACAGGACAATCTCCACAAGATGTACTTAATGCCAACAATCCTATTTTTTGGGGGGGTTCATAAGCTCCAGAAGGACACCATGCCATATCCCATACAGCACCATACTCATGAGCTATACCATAGGACATATGTGGTGTAAAAGAAGTGGATTTATTACTAAAAAAGAAACATAAAAATATGTATGAAGCAATAATTTTTGATGATCAAATAATATGATTATATTATTATAATAAACTTGAATAGAATTAAAAATAAAACTCTACTAAATAGTGCTTACATAACATTATTCAATGAATCAAATTTCCATAACTGCACAAGAGATGGATATTTGTAAACATCCATCTCTTTATGTTCTAGATCTGGTTTAGGATGACATGATATTGCCAAATACTGTGTTTGTACTTCCTTTGGAAGAGGACACCATGACATAGCCCAATTAGGTCCACCAGTAAACAGCCAATGCATACCTAAAAATAAATTAAGAATTATTTAAAAATATTGAAACCTTATACTCTAAATAATGTACCGTTAACATAAACAGACTTGAAAAGATCAACACATATATGTTCATCATTTGAATTTAATATTTTGCAAGATTGTTGAATAGATGGTATATACTTCAATGCTTCATCATTTGTTAAGAGCAAAGCATCAGATTTAAAGTCTTTGTGACAAACATCTTTCCAAAATGTTTTTGTGAAACTAAAAATTAAAAGTGATTTAAATATAACTAATAAATAAATAATAGATTATTACTAATTAAGTTATGATTTTGATCTTACAAATTATAATAGTTTAATAAAGGCTTTAAGTATATATTTCTGTGCACTTGATATTTATCTATTAAAAAAAAAATAATGACAGTGTATTAAACATAAGAATCAATGCATAATAAAATGTTAAATTCAATACAAAAATTAAAACTTACTAATTGTATAATTGTCTAAATTATCTTTTTTTTTATTATTTAAAACAATATCATGAACCTTCAAAATATGATCCACAATATCATTGACACTAATCGTAATAAAATCACACAAACGACACATAAAGTCCTATAAGAAAATTATTTAAGAAATATATTTTTTATATCAAATGAAAATAAAAATCTTACATAATATTCAGTAATATATTTAGTATCTGGATGAAAACTTAACACATTTGGGGGTCTTCTTTTACGCCGCAATTTGTAATCTCTTTTAGACTAAAAGAATAAAATATAATAAGCAATAATTAAATACATTATTATATTTATTCAATGTTACTACTATTTAGAAAAATTACATTTCAGCTTACATTTTCATTTATGTTGAAGTCATTACCATTTTCTATGTTGTTCACACCTCTACAATTTTTCTGTTTGTGAGTTATTAATGATGATGGTTTAACTTTATTTCCACAGTCTTCACATCTTATTAATAATTGTGTTATGTCCTAAAAAATAATTTATTGTTTTATTTAGAGAAAGTAAATGTTTGGTGTTTATTTTATGCAAATTTTTGTATATTTGCTTAATTTAAGAATTGCTATTTTAATAGGTTTTAAAAAAAAAAAAATGTACATGAATTCTTCACTAAACTCAGTCTAAAAATAAGTATTTTAAAATGGATTTATATTTAGATAATCAATACATGGTAAAATTACAACAATTATTTAATTTTTTATATATAAAACTACAATTATATATTTGAATATTTTTCTAGAGCACTAATTAAATTAATAATATAACTTACACTAGGAGCTTTATTGCAAAATATTACATGGCTGGCAAATCCGGAAATACTTTTTTTAATAGTTTTACAATCTTCACAACACAACTTAACTGAGCGTTTACGAACAGCACTAAAAGGTATGAATTGTTTCAATTTATTCAAAACAGTATCATAGTTTTCTAAATCCTAATAAAAAATATATATATAACAGATTATAATTATATTAGTTTTATAATATAGTTTATTTAATCAAACTATACTTACAAGTTTTTCTTCACCATCAATCCAACATAAATTAAAATGTTTAGAATAGTGATTAGTACGATATTCATAAAGAGTCATTTTTTCTTTACAGCGGCCACAAGTTACCTTAATATTAAACTTATGATTTAGAAAATGTACATTTTAATTAAATATAATCTGCTTACTATTGAATCGTCACTTTCTTTTGTAATTTCTTTACCAGATTTTTTAGTTATATCATTTTCATTTTCTGTTTCGTTTAAAAGTTCCAGTTTATCCTATATCCAATATAAATAATATAATATTTATTTAATATTTAATTAATTAATTTAACAGTTTTACCGGTCTAGATTCACATCTTTTAACATGACTAGCAAAACCAGGTACACTTTTTTTTTCTATTTGACACCATTCACAAATGAATTTAACTTTTTTTTGGCGTGCAGCATTTTTTGGTAATTTTTTTCGTAGTAATTGTTGTACAACATTCTCATCATCAAAATCCTAAAAATAAAAATAAAAGTTTAATCTCAATTATTTAGGTAAATATAAACCAAAGATCTGTTCTGTTATCTGTTATCTACCATATAAGAACATTTGCTAGACCTACCAGTGTATGTTTCCCTTTACAATCAAAAGTATCACTTTTCATGAAGATTGAGTTACACCCCAAAGATTTAAGAATAGCCAGTATAATACTCATCCATGTAACCTGAATACTATTGTAAGTAAAATAGGTGGTTTGTGCGCAAGCCAAGATAAAATGGGTGGCAGATAATGGAAAAGACCTCGAAAATAAAAATAATAATACGAGTTGGGAAATCTAACAATTTTAATTGATTTTGAAATTTTATAGTTACTGAAATATACATTATATAATACATTGTTATTAAAAACAACAAAATTAACAAACATAATTATATAATAATATTCAAATTAAATAAAAAACCACTTAAATAAGATACATTTTTGTCAAAAAAATATAAAAATAATGATAATTTTATTAAAAATGAAGACTATTAAAATATTTGTCCTAACTAGTTAGTTATTTTAAAATTTAAACCTATTAATGGTTTCAAAAAGAAAAAGAAAATATGATACATTCATTAATTACTAAACAGTAATAAATATACAAATGTATATTATGAAGAGTAATATTATTTATTAGATGTAACTTATTACTATATTACCATACTATCTTAAATAAATAAACAACTGGAAAAAAAATTACTTACTGGTTTTTCATCACCAATTATCCAGCATAGATTGTTATGAGTTGCACTATGTGTGTCTTCATACTCCTCAAATTTCATGCTTTTATTACAACAACCACAAATTATCTTAATAAATGAGGAAAAAATTTAATTAAAAATTGTAATCCAATAAATATACAAACAATATACATACCGTGGAATTGTTTTTATTTTTTAATTTTTCTTCATCTAAAACCCGGGGATGTACAAGCTAAAAAAAGGTATTTTTAAATAAAAAACCAATACAAGTGACAACTATTTTTATATAAAACACTAAGGACAATATCTTCACTCCACTGAAAATATAGAATTATAAACATTGTTTTGCACTTAGAAAACGATATAACTAATTCAAATTTGCTACAATTTCAATTATTATTGATTTTTTTTTAATTTAACAAGTAGCTTAATTTATAAATCTGGTTATGTTTGATGTGTGGATAAAATACATTAATCAAAGATTGGGTAAAACAGATTATATATGATTGTAATCATCAATTGACACATTTACAATTTGTCCAATAATTTTTTTTTGAGCCATAAACAAAACGTAAATGTCAGTTTTACATTAACGAAATTTGCATGAAACTAGTTATTTTGTGATGATATAGAGAAGGAAGTGTAATATTTCAGGATATGTCAGTCCGCTGAAAAGTGAAATGAGAAATTTTATTACAAGCAATGATTTATAGTATGTTTGACAGACTTAGAATTGAGTAACATCATCTAGAAATTTGTTAGTAAAAGAATAAAAATAAGTTTTTCTATAGTAATGTTTATTTCACTCAAACTGATGGAATTTAAAATAAGTCACTTTAAATTTTTATGAAATTTTTTGACCTGTTTTGAAAATTCATTAAAAGTATATAGCAAGTGTTGGCAATTAAATTCTATGAAGGTCGAGAAAATTTCAAAAAAAATTTTGAGGGCAAGTAAAAACTCAGATATTAGTTAATAATTTTTGTGTTATCGCAACTATTATTGTAAACAGCAATAAACGATAAACACCATCGTAATCTATAAATACATCATAAAATAGATAAAACATATATTATGCGTGGAAAACCAGCATTATTAAAAAAAATATATTTTTTTGTGGTCCAATTATTTTTCCTTCATGGGCTGGATTTGGCCCACGAGCCGCCTATTGCCAACCACTGGTATGTAGTATTAATTTTCAATTTTTTTTGCTTTTTTCGTTTTTAAAATATGTGAGACTTTCCTTTTTTGGTTTAACTAATGAAAAAATAAGAAGTATTTTTAAATATTTTATTAAATTTATTATTTTCGTGTTTTTCTTGTCGAAATTCACTAGTCAACATATGATTAACATACACCATCTTAATGTAAATACTATAATAATAATAATATTAATATAAAAATAATAATTCCTATAGTCATATAGTCTATAATAGGTATGAAGAAAATGCTATTTTTATAAAAATGTTTCTATAGTTTGATCTAGCAGTGAAGTTAAGTTGAGTTTACCAAACTTGAACTGAAACAACTGCTAGATTATGCACATATCATCACATTTTTCACATTATAATAAATGTTTTACAAATTTTTAACTGAAACCAGCCCAAAAATATATCCATGTAAATAAAATTTCATAAGTAAAAGTGGTTAATAAAGTTGAAAAAAATATTACCTACCATTTGTTCAATGGTACATTTTTTTACATGAGAAGCAAAGTCTACCACACCTCTTCTTATATCTTTGCACCATTCACATACAAACTTTTTTTTAGCAGTAGAGTTTGGAAAAATTTCATGGAGTAATTCAACTAATTTGTTCTCATTTAAAAAGTCCTAAAAAATAAATGTTCTATAATTATTTAGCATTTGCTTACATAAATTTTAAATTAAATAATAAAGGTAATATTTTAACATACTATTTTTTCTTCTCCTTCTAACCAACATAAATTATAGTGAGTATGTCTATGTTTATTTTTGTATTCTTCATATGTCATACTATCTCTGCAACGACCACATGATACCTAGACATAAATGACAAAAAGTTTTAAATAAATAATATAATATTTTTGAATTTACTTCTATCTACATTTTTGTAACACCTAAATCAGAAGCAAGTTATGATACAAGTATGTAACCACTAAAAAAAAAACAATTAGCTATAATATTTTAGTATAAAGCGTAAATACAAATATTAAAATACACATATTAATTTAATTCTTATGAAAACTATTAATAAATCATAAGACGCTGTTAGGATATTAAAATTAGTAATCATAATTGTGTACAGTAGCACATTTTACAAGAATAAAACATTATTTTTAGAAACTAACAATGAAAATATATTCTACCATTCAATTAATTTAAACACAATTTTTTTTTTATTTTCATTACTTATAGAAATTATGAATGATGCCATAAATGTAAGTATTTGTAGTATAGTAGATTATCCACTTATTGACTTATTACATTCTACATGGAATGGATACAATGTATGAAAAGTGGATAACCATAATAAGGTATTTCACTGTAATAAATATAATGAAAAAATCATAAATATCAATATTTCAATAACAGTTTGAACACTACTATTACTATTTTTTTTTACTTAAGTCTTGCGCTACATAACAAATCGGTGCAGAGGCTAATAAAAAATTGTTAATATTTCTGTTAGCTATGTTACATATATATTAATTTAATTACTTACCTCAGGGCCATTATCATGAGTAATAGATGATGTGCTAAGACCAACATTAGTCTTGTTCAAAACTTTATTATTTTTATTCAAAACAGTCTAAAAAAGAAAATTAATTTTTAAATGTTGATACAACACATTGTAAAAAAATATATATATTTATATTATATACCATAGAACTATAATACATAAGTTGAAACTTATCATGACTCAAGAACATTTTTAAATAAATGTGGTTATGTTGTTAATAAGAGTGAAAAGTTTACTAATAATTGTTCTGGTGAAAATTTTATGTAAAAAATATATAATGTTTAAAATAACCATTCATTTTTAAAACAAATGTTTTTCTAAATTATTTGTAAAAATGTCATATGTTGTATCAGTTAACTGTCAGTAAACTATTTTTCTCTATAAAAACAAATTTAAAAGATAACAAAAAAAAAAAAAAAAACTACAGAAAATAAACCATGGAAATAAAGTGTTTATACCTTGCTATTATGTTGTAATTGTCAAATTATAAATTAAAATCAATAATCCAATAGCTATTGCTGTAGAAGCTGTTGTAGGTATCTTTGTTAAATTAAAAGTAAAAACAAGCTCTATAGTTTAAAATAGTTCCTATAGTAATAGATATATAACATATAGCAAGAGGTAAAACAAAAACAAAAACTAAACTTTAACTTTTCAACATGGAAAAACTACTCTTAAAATTTAAATAGTATAAAATAACATTAATAAAAAAACATAAAAATTGGTAAATAAAAGTTAATTAGTTTTTATAATTACTTAAATGAAATGTCATATAATACTTATTATTAATCTGAATCAGCAATGAGAATTTCAGCAAATTGCCCAATAAAATATGACATAATAGCAAATTTTTTTTTCTATTACTCAAAAAATAATATTATTAAAAATAGTTTAACATTTTATTCAAAAGTTACAAAAATATTACCTGTTAAATTAATTCGTGAATAAATTTAATATAATATTAGGGAAGTACTTACAATATGTTTACATTTATTTAGATGGTTGGCAAATCCAGAAATAGTCATTTTAACAGCATCACACCATTCACATATAAATTTTGACTTAATTTTAGATTTCTTTAATATTGCTTGAACTTTTGACGTATCTGTGAAATCCTATAAAATACAATGGTATTAAAAAAATTATAAATCATCTATAAATATTTAAATTTAAAGTGTACAATTTCATCTTCAACGCCCATAATCCAACAGAGGTCATAATGAATCTGACGATGTTTAAAATTATACTCCTGATATAACATTTGTTTTTTGCATTTACCACATGTTACCTAAAAACAGAAAAAAAAACTTAGTAACACTTAAAATATCATTTTTTTTTATGTAATATGTTCTTTTTAAATTCAATAATAAATTAGTATTAACAATAATCAATAATAAAACATACCTAAAATTTAATTTAAATAATAATAATTGTAATTTATATGAAAATAACCATGCAAGTTATTTAATTTATATAATGTAGCATATAAACTAATAAATAATATGTTAAGCTTAATAAGGATAACAAAATATGAACTGAATAATGAATAAAATAATTTCAATTTTTAAAAATTATAGCATATAAAGTAAATTCAATATTTTTTATATCTAGATAATTTGTGTATAAATTAAAATCGAGAGTTGAAGATGTATACATCTTTGTAATTTCATACAAAATTATCTTAATATAACTAATAGCAACACTAATTCAATTTTTTTTTTATAAAAGTAACATACTACAAAAACCATGAAATCTGATAATTGACAACTATTGTTATAATAATTTTAAAAATATTTTCTCACGACAGAATCATCTCTGATTTTATTTGTTGACGCGAAATTTTTAACCGATCCTTGGTCGTAGTCGACTTCAAGATTGACATCAAAAGTATTGTTATCCATTGCTGGAGTAATACGTAAACATTCAATCAACAATCATCATTAATCTTATTTTGGCATAAATTATAAGGATCAAAAAACAATACTACTCATACTAAGTAAAAATTTAAGATATTATTTAATAACGCAAACAATGTGAGTATTTGATTTAACAGAAATTTAATTTAACATTTAACGTTCAAAACACTTCCAGTACTCAGTTACTCAGTAATAGTATCATTCTATAGTAGTATTTGTCGAAGTTCCGTAACAGCTTAGATCATATTATACAAATATACAATATGGTCTAAGCGCAACAGTAATAGTAGGTGATAACATTGATAACAATATCAATTAAATTCATTGAGATAATGAACAAGAAAACAGTCAAAACACCATAACAGCCATGAAAGCAAATGGATGAGTACTGGAATCGAGAATATGAATTATGTTAACTATACTATGTTAACGAATGTTGACTCCGAAGTCCGAAGTATCAAAGTATGACTGTATGAGCATTGGAAATGCTCACTTATCATAATGTGTTATAAACAGTTATAGTAATTATATAGTGTCATACATTTACAGTGCCGACGCAAGGTTTTATAGGGCTCGGGTCAAGTAAAAAATGTGGGACCCTCATTCCTATCTTATACATTGCATCCCCATTCTAAATTAATTTAAGAATTAATTCAAAAGGTAATTTTGTTTATGGATTTTAAAACAAATAATTACTGTACATTATAGGTATGTAAATAAAATCAAAACAATTAATGATAAATATATTATTTATCATATTATTTGCATAGAAAATAAACGTATTATCTTAATCGTCGTCATTATAAAATATAAAAAAAAAATATTATTAATAACTACTTTTAGATATTATTAAATGATTAATAATTAATAGATGAGTAATAATTTTAATTTATAAAGGAAGTTTAAAATAATTAGTGTGCTGTACAATTTATAATACTTTAAATTACATTGTTAAAATAAAATATTGTCATTTGTCAGTTATAATTCTTTAATTTTTCTAGCTTTTCTGGATGCAAAATCATTTATTAAATCTTCTTAATTTAGTTGTTTTGGAAGTTCTTTTTCTATACAAATTGTAGCAAGTTCAAACAGTCCAATAAGTACCTATGTTGTAATTTAATACTTCGTCAATAGGATGTTTTAATAAGTTTTAATTTTGAGAATATTCTCTCTGTACCATCTGACGTAAACGGAATTGTTAACATGATTCGTAAAGCAATATTCAAGTTGGAAAATGCGTTCGTTTTTTTTATTTCACATAGACATTTAGTACTTGAAGCGGTGTAGTATTTTATCAATTAAATCTTTTATGTCATTCTCTAACGTATTTCCAAATTTTTGAAACAATTTAAAATTTCTTAATCAGGGACATAAAGTTTTTCAACATCATACAAAAATCCAAAAATATATAATTGGCTACATCAAATGCGATAAGCAGATAACAACGATAAAAATGTCAAACATTTTAGTTTTAACAAATATTGTATTTTTAACGTATCCAACAATAATAGTCTGGTAGAAGTCAACTTAAATTTACTGTGATACTTGGGTATGGGTATGTTGGGTAATAATAAGACTTATGATTAAAATTCAAAAGTGAACTTGATTTTTTTTTGGTTTCATTCAGGTGGGAACACTATAAATAACGGGGCTCCAAAATTGTGAGGCACGTGCCCCACTCGCCCCGATGATTGCTCTGACACTGCACATTTATCTCAAATTTAAAAAAAAGCTTTACTTCGTAATGAGTTAAAAGTAAGGTAATTAGGTGAATGGGATGAGTAGTGAATTATTTTGAAATATGAAATACTAAAATTGTATTATGTAATGTAGATTAGAAAAATATCTGTACAAGTTTACATTGCGTTGTGTAAGATATGAGCAGTTCAACCAATATCCGACAAGTTAGTTGTTAAATTTTTGTTGAGAATTGAACAAACATTTTTCTTGTGAAATATGACGCCATCGCAATTCGTATTACAGTTATTACCCGAAAAATAACTATTTTATTGTATAAGTTGTATTTTTGTAAGACATTCATTATGTACCTACCTAACATTGTGACTAGTTAAAATATACGTGGTTTTACTTTGTTAAATTATAAATTTTAACACTTTGATTAGAACTCTTTGTCTCCGTATGAATAAAAATATCGGATAGGAATCGGTATAAGTCTTATAGACATTTATAATTTGATTGTGTCCACTATAATATTACCATAATTGCTGTAAATTTAGTATTCCTTTAGCACTCTAAAAACTTGTTTCATCGCAAAAGGGAAATTATATTTAAGTTTTAACGCAATTAATTAACATTTCTTTCGATCGCAAGAACATTTTTTATCATACATTTTGTTTATTACTGAAAATTTACAATCTATATATTGTAAAGAATGATTGTGTATAATATGCTCTCATAATAATATGAAAATAATGATGTAGGTAGTTAGGTAGGTAAACTATATTTTACTTGATTTTCAATAAAAATAGAAATCGCAATAACTAATTTTTTTGTAGATTCATAAAGACCAGAGTATACGTGATATATTCATGATATAATAAAAAAATCTCGATAGTATACTGCAGTGGCCGTAGCCAGAGAGGAGCTGAGGGAACTGAACCTTCTCCTCCGAAATAAAAAGATATTATTGCGCTAAGGTTTTTTATCTGATGTCCTTTTTTTTCAGATAACCTACCGATGTGTAAAATAAATATGAAGACGATTTAGTTGTTTATTGCAAGATACTGGAAAGTAAATTTCATATTGGTCAGAACTCAGAACTCAAAAGTGTTAAGTTCGTAAAATTGGTTTCAAATTCAAAACAAAAGTTATATACTGCAGCGCCACGTGTTGGCGAAAATTAAGAGGCCATCAATGGTGGTTTTTTGAAACAACGTTGGTAGAGAGCACTGCGCTACCACTCAGATGAATCCATGAAAAAATTTAGAATGAAATTTCGTAAATCACCGAAACTAAGGCCCTACCGAAACCGGCTTTCAGCTATCAGTAAACCATGACTATTAATAGGTTTGGACATAATCAGCAAATTCTTTTATCATATTTTTTTTATCTCTAATCTAACAGCAGTTTTTCATAGCGTTCTTACGAATTACGATTATTATTTTATTATAGGTAGTTTACAAGATATTACATCATCTTATTTAATATTCATTATTCATTTCAATATTTTGAATTGGACGTTTTGGACGTCGTCGAATTTCCGGTTGGATTTCCTGTTTAATTACACACTATCCATCTATAGTCGACCGTACGGCATCGAGTTCACTCCGAAGTTTCTCTGATACCATTATGATCAAATCCAAGGCTTTACTGCCCTGGACATGTTTGTTTAAGGAAAGCCGAATGGCTTCGGAATGTTGGCGATCGTTGAGCACCAAACTGGAACCCATAAAAATGTCGTTCACATCATACGAATCGGCTGCCGATGGTGGACAAAAACCGCCCATCATCATCATGCACGGTCTGTTTGGTTGCAAGTCCAATTGGAACAGTTTGTCAAAATCCCTTCACAATATGACCCGCAGAAAAGTATGTATTTGTATTTTTATAAAATGCATATCTACCTATTGGTTTAAAAAAAATTACAGTATGTTTAAAAAAATATGATTAATATTTTTGTATAATAAAATATTATAATTATATTTTCAGTATTAAAATAACTAACTAACCATTTTAATTTAATAAGTAATTAGATACTTATATAAATGTAGTAGTTACCATCAAATTTTGTCATATTGTGTTTTTATTTGCTTATATAGATTTATTGAAAAATTTCTTGTCTTAACATTTTATAAATCTAAAATTAACTCTAATTATTAAGTTTAAAATTTTGTAAGTTTAGACTTGTAATGCTATCAATTATGATTATTATTTATTCTTTTAGTCTCATCTTAACACATTTTAATGAATTAAAGATTAAAAATGTATATAATATTAATAAAAGTTAGTAAAAAGGTTAAACACTAACCTTAGATTAAATTTGAAATACAATCAGTGACTGTATATTCAATTAGTTTTTATTAGTTAGATACCTAATACAAGCACCTCATATAAACTATTGCTTTTTGTTAAAAAAATTTATTTTATATTCATAAATTGCCAAACAAAATATAAAACTAATTTCAGAATTATAACTGGTTGTTAAATCATTTTTTTTTCAGGCAGAACTATTCATTGTTTTTTTATCTCCTTAATACTTCTGTCTCGACTTCTGTTATCTAATTTACTTATTTAATTTATTTTATTTAATGAATTTAATATATTATATGATGGTTAATTGTTTCCTGTTATTACTTTTTTTTTTTTTTATAATTATTGTTTGATGCATTGAAATATTTTGGTATATTAAAAAATAATGATTATTTAAGTTACTAGATTAATAAAAAATTACCTATTAGTTTGTTACTTTAAATTTTTAATTTTTTTTACCCATAACATTTTATGCGAGAATATATGTATTTTATTAATGTTAAAGACTTTATAATTATTACAAATCTCTTATAAATATAAAATAAAAAAATGTTCTTAAATTATAATTTGTTTCAAGGTAATTACTGTTGATTCAAGAAATCACGGAGACTCACCACATACTTTAGAGCAATCATATCGGCTTATGGTTGAAGATGTTAAATTTTTAATGGAAGATTTAGGTGTGAAAAAAGCCTCATTAATTGGTCATAGCATGGGTGGCAGAACAATGATGTACTTAGCAGTCATCTATGTAAGGTTTGTTTTAATATTACTATACGTATTAATTACATACCAGCTAAAAAATAAACAGCAAAATATTTTTAGCCAGAACTCGTGGAATCCCTAATACCAGTCGATATATCACCAGTTAACAGCAAAGAAGTGAGTGATATTCAAAGTATTATAGATGTCTTAAGAGGTGTTAATTTAGATATTGATGGACCTATATCAAAAGTTCGGAAATTGGCAGATGAACATATGAAAAGTTCAATAGAGGTATGTTAAGTTATAATTATAATCAATCTTTAATTAGTCAGTTCAAATAATAATTATTTAAGCCTTTAAGGTTATCTATTTTTCAAATGATATTAGTCTTAATTATTTATTGTATATTTATATCATTATGAATAACTATACTGCTAATTATTATTATAATATATATACTATAAATATAGTATACTAAACATATAATATTTATTCATTCTTTGTTGAATTATGAAATTGGTTGTTGGGTATAATTAAGCAATTGTTTACTATATTTATTTGCCTGATTAACCGGCAATAGAGAAAGCTCTGTGTAAATAATATTAGTCCTAACAATTTTTAGTATTTATGTTTTTTAAACTACTAAGTACCACAAAGAGATATAGATTTTTAAGGAAGATATTTCACAATATGTTTTAGTTTACTAAATATTATAAAAATATTAAATTAACATGAGTAAACTTAACTCATGTTGCAGTTTTTTTTTTTATGTAGTATAATATTATTATCTATACATTGAATTAATTTTTATTTTTTCACTGTAATTTTTTTAACAATTAGTAAGAAAAAACTATTTAATTTCATCAAGTCAGCTACAGAAATAAATCTAAGGTTTTTTTAAATGTTGACGTGAAAATAAATATTTTTATTAAAAATATTTTAAGATTGGAATTTAAAATTTAATGTATGATAATCTTAACCTTAATATTATTAAAATTTGAGATGATTTCTTTGGATAGCTTTGTCTAAAGTTATACCAAACCAATTTATGTGATTTTTATTTTAAACTCTAGAGTTTGATGTTTAGATAACTTATTTAATGAAAAAGTTAAAAAAAATTATTAATTAAAGAATTATTTGAAATATTAATTTTTCTGTAGTGATATGTGTTACCTGCTGTGTATGTGTACATTACTCTTTCTGTGTTGCTGTTAGCATGGGGTTTTGATTAATATAGTGATGTATAACTCAGTTAGTTAGTATAAAATAGTTGAAATTGAGATAAATAATATAGTATATTAATATTAACAACTATTTATTGTTTACTTATTAATAAATTTTGTTTTATGTTATACAGAGTCCAGTACTTCGACAGTTCCTCCTAACCAATCTTATTGAAGTGAACAAAAAATATCAATGGCGGATAAATTTAGAATCTATCAATGTTAATTTTAAAAAAGGGCTTGCTGTGTTTCCACCTGTGCAATCAACATATAATGGGCCAACATATTTCATTGGAGGCGGAAATTCACTTTTCTTGAAACCATCAGATCATGAAGCCATCAAACAGATATTCCCTTTAGTTAAATTTGATTATATAACTGGTGCCGGTCATTGGTTACATGCTGAAAAACCTCAGGAGTTTTTAAAATTAGTGTCACAATTTTTAGCTACTGTATAGAAATATAATTTTAACAAATATCATTATCAGGTTAGGAAATATAAAGAAATTCAAACTTTGTATTAATATGCCCCTATGTGATTGTCTGTGTAACTATTTTCAGATAACTAATTATGGGTTAAATATCATTTTTTATGATAATTATTCAAACAATAAAATAAAAAAATTTTTTAGAGTGTTTATATTAAATAGTATGTAGTCCATGTTAACCATATTATTCTTGGAATAAACAAGTATAATTTACCTAAATTATGAAATAATTCTAATTGTATCACTTATAGTGGATATGTAGTAAATAAGAAAATGTAATTTTGGATACACCATCAACAGGCAACAGCTAGAAAAGTGAGTGAATGACTTCATTTTTTTTTTCTATTATTTTAATTTCCCTTAAATTGTATGATAGGAGTAGTAATTGCTCCAGTAAAAATTTCATATTTGTATTTTATAAAAACCTTTAAAGTAAATTTAAAAATGATAATTATTATTTATAACCTACACTATTTGATGACCTTATCCAGGGTCGTTTATTGACACTAAATGGTAATTGAAAAGTATATGTAAATTCCATAAATTATTATACCTGTACAAAATATCAGATATTATTACAATAAAGCATGCTATTTTAGTAAAATTAAAGAACAATACAATGAATGAGAATAATTGAAATATTAGAATAAAAGAATAAAGTTTTTATTTTATTCATAATCTATTTTTCACTTTTCTATTCTAGCAATAGTGATTTGACAATAATTGAATAATAATTTAATGTAAATTTTTCGGTAAAAGTCAGAATTTCAGACATTTACCAAATGATTTTGCTAAAACCTAGAACTCGAAATGATTTTTGTAGTTTGGACTTTTACTAATTATGTGATTTTTTTCCTTTCTGGGCGGAAGTTTTTTGAGGAAGGTAAATTTTTATTAATTTTTTTTTGTGTATATTCAATAAGCTTATTTATCCCATATAGAGTCAAAAAGGAACCATACAAATTGTATAATGGAAAACACAGAGTTGAGAAATAGCTATTGATTATTATTATTATTATAACAATGTAATATACACATTATATAGGTATATAAAATTATTTCTTAGTATATGGACATTTATGGATTTATGTAATAATATATTATATGTAAATATATATTATACAGATAATTATATTTATATACATTGTGGTAGTGTGTAATGTGTATGAGTAGTATTATTCAGTTTTTGTTTAGTCCGCGTGTTTGCCATCGTGTGTTATTTAGTTGTTTCTAATAAATATTATTTCCTAACATATTTTTATTTACCTTTCAAATTATTATCATGACGAACACTACAATAAGAAAAATATAATTGATTTTTATAATTATATTTTAAAATTTTTTATCTACTAACTACATAATAATATTTATTTATTTTTTCTTTTATATAAAATGTAAAACATTAACACAGGTAAAAGTAGTATCTATTAAAATTTTAAAGTATTATTAGCAAAAAAAAAAAAAAAAAATAGTATATCTATTGGTAGTGAAAAATGATATTGTAGTTTATTGGGTATATTCACTATATTCATTGATAAAATAAAGATAATAATGGTAAATGAATGTTTTATTAATAATGCATTTTAAATTATCATATTTACATTTTAGTTTTTGAGATATCAAAAAACCAAAAATTTAATAGGCATTTAACAGAAAAAATTAAAAAAAAAAATTAGAACATTTTTGAAAAATAAATATCTTGTAACCAGTTGGTCAGTCTTGTAAATATTGTATCTTTAACTTGCAAAAGTATTAATTACGGTTCTTAAGTCTCTCACTTTTCTCTCTAAATCCAAAATTGTAGATCCCCTACAAAAAAATATTTATTACATATCTGATTGAAATACAAATATAACATGTTATATATTAAATAGTTCACTTTGTGCACATACATTTCGGATAAATTTCCTTTAATAACTAGTTCTTGTTCAAGAGTTAATTTTAATGAACGGGTTCCGTATAATTGTTTATATACAGATGCTGCTGATTCGGTTTGCACTATGTTCCATTTTTCTCTAGCTTCTTCAATACGTTTATTCATCAAATCCATCTTAGTTTTGTAAGATTCCAACAGTTCTCTTTTCTTTTTTATTGAAATACTATCAGGTGATGCTGAGACTAGTTTTAAAAGGATTGAAGAAGCTCTAAATAAATAAAATATTTTTTTTTTTTGTAATTGTTAATGTTAGAAAGGTTTACTTTATAATATTATGTATTAAAAAGGTTATTAATAGATGTTCATTGAAATATTATTAGGTTTAATATTTGCTAAACATATAACTCAAGCCCTAAGCCCCAAATATCTAACATATTAAATAAAACAGAAGCGTGTTAACTGTTGATTGCAAAATTAAAAAAAAACATTTCAATTTGCTATTTTATGATATTTAAAATAAACCATGAACGCTTCAAATTACCTTTGGGTCAATTCTTCTTGTTTGTTATTAATTTCATCTAATTTTTCAGCTTTATTTTCCACATCATCTTGTAATTTTTGCCGAGCTTCTCCCAATCGTTGCATCTCTTGCAACTGCCTTTCCTTTGCTTTAGTAAGCATGCGCACTCTTCGTTCAATTTCTTCAGAAACTATTTTGTGGTTATTTAATGTGACTCTTCGTATGTTCATAGTTTGTAAAACCATCTAAATGTAATAGTTCAAAAATAAGCCATCTTTATTTAAAAAAATTTAAATTCTGCAGTATTACTGTTAAAATCAAATATGTAAAAGTATTATTTACCTGTACCACAATCTCTTTGGGAAGATCTGATCCTAATTTTAGAATTGTATTTTTAGTACCATTTTCTTTTTGTAGTAGTGCAGCTATAAAAGAACTGAAGTCATCTTTGTCAACCTAAACAAACATTAATCATTAATACATAAAATAATCATACATAATGTAAAATTTTAGATTTTGTATTTAAATACACTGAAATCAAGTCACCAAAAATAAACAATTTATTTATGAATTATAATTTGAATTGACGACCTTACGTTTTCAGAACTATCTACTTGGTCTTCAGAAGCGGTGTTGTCTTCGTTCATATATATATTAGCAATAGACAGTTTATTATAATGGAAATCTGGAATAGCTTGAGTTACGACTTCGCCGTTGCTCAACAAAGTGACTAATAAGTCAGTAGGAAAGCTTAGGACAGCGAACCCTTTGATAGGTTTCGTTTCGCCATTCATAAGACCCGTGCAAATGTAATATTCCACAAAACTTTGTCCTTGTATGTCGGGTGATCCACGGAAATCGTCTAAAAATAATAATAATAATGATAATAAATAATAATTTAGTTAAGGTAGTAAAACATTTCTTTTCAAAAGAATCTACAATAAAATACATATTATATATGTCTAATGTAATTAATAATACAGCGTTCTATACGTCATGTCAATTAAATCTTGTTTATTATATCGAATTGATACTATATTGTCTATAAATAAAATACTTGACAAAAGCAAGAATCATAATTAGCAAGAATCATAATTCATAACACATGTAATCTAATCACAACAAAAAACCTTAAATAATCAAAAATATATTTTTAAAAATGTATTTTTAGAAAAATTACAAAAAAAAAAAACAGGTTAATTAAAAATTATACTAAAAAAATGGCCTAAAAAGACAAAATAAAATTTATATTGCATTCATTGTAAATCTATCAGACATGAATCGAGTTTTTAGCTAATAGATAGCATTGTCATTACTCATTTACATTCTATTTCTAAAGTTATAAATTATAATTGACAATTTTAATAGTAGGTATACCAGCTGTGGTTTTTGAAAACTCGTCCAGTAACTCTGTAAGCGGTACTGTAACCGAGTGTACACCAGTGTTGTGTAAACACCAATATCTAGACGTGACGGCTGCGTCTCTTTTCAAATGTATCGTGTTGGAGCTGTCATATTCGCCATTGTCCTCTATGTTTAAGCCCAACTCTAGTTCGATGGTTTCAATTATATGCAAACTGTATTTGTGTTGATATTCACTAGGCTCATATTCATCATCGTTCTAAAACATGAATAATATTAAGAATTTGAGACGTATAATGTATATTATAGCCTAAAATAAAAATGTAGTTTGTAGATTAACTAAATTATTTAGATAAAACGATAAAAACAACTCTATATGGAGGACTTAACCTTCAACAATACTTAGTAGATACTTAGTAGATATCACGGAAACGGTACACAATTCTAGGAGCTATGGGTGTTTAATGTTTATAGCTTATTTCTAACCACGCAAACAACGTTCATTTTTAGATTTTATAGTTTTGGTTACGTATTTTAAACGATTCTTCTTATTATTATTTTTTTCTATATTGTATTTTTCCGCGTTTTTGAATTCTATATTTTGCGCGCAATGCATCGTTTAATATACTGTGTTATATACAGTCAAATAAAAGTTAAAAAAAAAGATTATTACCTCAATGCATTATTGTTATACTTCTCATACAAACAGAAAGAGAACATTTTTTTAATATGATTTTAATATGGTAATAATATATGATATATCAAATTTCTGTGTAAAAAGTAGGTGGGATTTTATAGAAAAATTAATTTTTTAAAGGTAGGTAGTCTAAAAATTTGAGTATAATATTTTGTCTTGTTTAATCGGTGTACATAGTACTTGCGGGTTAGAAAACAATAAAGAAACATCGTTAATGGTTAATGTATTATTTTACGGTTAGATTAAACCATCGTTAATTATCGTTAACCACAATAGGGGTTAAGCTCGTTTGACAAACTAATTCGACGGTTGGTTTCACTTAATAGTTTCCAGATCTTAGTGGATCACAAACTTTTGCGGACCTCTAAACTTTTAACATTTAATACTAACACAATCGGTTGTTCTATACACAGGTACATCAATTACTATTATACGTAATATATACAACAAACCCTGCAGCATATATATCATTATAGCCTCATTGACTAAGATTGATACCTACTAACTGTAATAATCATAAGACTGAGATTTTGATATCTTGAAAACTTGCGAAAACTAAAAAAATATGCAAACATTTCAAGAAAAGCTCTACCTAAAATTCAGAAAAAAAACAATATTGCTCTACAAGTTATTAAAAAATAACTTATTACTATTTTGTATGATTCAAATAACTTTTTTATATAAATAG